GTATGTGTGTGTGTGTGTGTGTGTGTGTGTGTGTGTGTGTGTGTGTGTGTGTGTGTGTGTGTGTGTGTGTGTGTGTGTGTGTGTGTGTGTGCGTGTGTGTGTGTGCATGTAAGCATACTAGCCGATGTGTGTGTGCTTGAGTGAGTACAAGTGTCGGTATAATTGTGTCCGTGTTTTGAATAATGGTATAGACATCCTTCTTTTTGAGCTATGATCAAAAAACGCTTTTTGTGCATTAAGGGACTTAAAGCTGAGATGTGTGCTGGAGAAAGTCAATGCCAGAGATGTGTGTGCATGTGTGTGTGTGTGTGTGTGTGTGTGTGTGTGTGTGTGTGTGTGTGTGTGTGTGTGTGTGTGTGTGTGTGTGTGTGTGTGTGTATAGTTTCTATGAAGAAGCAGCCTTTGATTTGACATATTGTCTAACAGAGACGAACGCTTAAAGCAACGTTTAAAGCAACGTTTTTGACTAAACGTAATATGTCTATTTTGCCACGTACGATTTTGTATATGAAAATTAAAGCATGTTTTTAAACCTGGTCCTTTATCTTTAAGTATTGAGTGTAGTGTGGCAATGAACATAATAATAAAAACTCATATTGCTTTTAAGCAAAAAGAAAGTGTGGACAGAAATTAAGAGAACTTAAGATGTCCCCTTTGGCATTAATCTCTAATTTGTCCCTAGAGCATGACAAGAACCTTCGTTAACATCAAGGGGAAGGCGATTAGCATTTTTTGCTGGGTGGAATCACAAATTATTATTATTAAATCATTTCAAGTCCAGTAATCCAGGAGGGGATATGCTTTGGAGAGTCTACTGGGCAGCAAATATTCATTTTTCCAGCAGGCTGTCCCATTCTTGATTCCATTTCAAATTGGCAAAATCAGTCCGTGATTTAAAAAGTCCTCCATAAAAATTTCAGCTGTATTGTTCACTTCCCAATGTGTGTGTTTTTCTTTTTCATCTCCTGAATTAACCAGGCTGACATTCAGCCCAGGAAAGATCCCTGTTTTTTGTCCTTTACCAGGCTGTGCTCTCTCCCATCTCCGGGCCTTGGTGGGACATGGGAGCACTGTAGCTGGAGTTACTGGCCAATGAGAAAGGGGGGCTGGGCCCGCCCCCGTAGGCCTCCCCCGGGATAGGCTGCAGGGAGTTTGGTAAGCCCGGCTCTGGACTGGGGGTTTCAGCGTGGGAGATCATGTCCGTGAACCTTTGGTCGTCTGAGGGGTGGTGGCCTGAGCCCTCCATGGGTCCGGGTCCAGAGCTCAGGATGTAGGGCGACTCGGCCGGAGACTGAGCCTGCGAGGATGGAGGGCCGTGAGGGAAGAAGTCGTAGTTAGTTCCTGGTCCATAATAGTCACCTTGGTATTCTGCGGAGGGACAGGAGAAAACACCAGGGGTTAGACATTCTATTAAAGTATTTAAATATGCATCAAAATATCCACATTCCCCCACAGCGGTGTGCAGCTTCACACCTCCACCCTTACCTAAGTGGTGAAATTGATCATGTCCAATTTCCAACCAACCAGTCTCCAACAGCCTCATTTGAGTGTATAAACAACTCCACACCTCTCCACCTCAGTTCTCTCGCCTTTTACACACTGCATTCATCTCCCTCACTCATTCAGCTCGCAGCCATGCGTGCCTCTCGATGGATTCCCCTGCTGAAACTTCGGGATTTGGATGAGGAACTCCAGAATGATTTTCCTGCCAGGTCCTGTCGCCTGCATCTCCTCTCCGTCACGGCTGGTGCAGCTTCCAGCAACATCCATCCCCTCTCCTCTACCTCACTGGGCTGTGGCTACTTCCTGAGCTACACAGATCACGCTCAATTATTCCCAGCATGCAATCCATCTAGGAGTGCAACTATCAATGATTTTCATTATCAATTATACTGCTAAATGTTTTTTTGATAAAATGTTTGGTCTGTAAAGTCAGAAAACAGTGCAAGATGTCCATATCAATTTCCTAGAGCACAGAGTGGTATCCTTACATTACTAGATTTGTCCAACCCACAGTCCAAAAACACAATTTACAATTATTTATAGATATTCTAAGAAGCTTGGTAAATAACTAAAAATATGAATTGATTATTTAAATGTTCCAATTGAATGTTGGACAATCGACTAATCAAACAATTTAGTAACCGCTCTTAATCCATTTGTATTACTCCATTATTCCATCAAACCACACCTAGCTGTTGTGTTTTTATCCACAATAACAGGTTTGGATCATCAATAGCTTTCCATACAAGTCCAGTCATTTGTGCAGCATCACAATCATCATAAGACAAAATTGTTCTCTATGCAAACTGCATTAAGCCTTTAATATTTCAGCCAATCATCATGAAGATCTATGTTGGGGCCTAAATTCAATGGTTTCATATGTTTAACAACATATGCATCAATCAGAAGCAATGGCTTTTTTAGTCTGTAAATTCATCTAGTACATCATTCATGGTGGCCCTACAGCAAAAGTTAGTGGATCACCAATGTCGAGGATTCATCCACTGGGGGAAATGAATGTCCTTACCAAAACAGTCTGACCAACCAAAACCCAATAATATATATTTTCCATCAAATAAAACAACTAACTTGAGGTTTAAAACCCCCCTCTCTCCAATATTAAACAAAGCGTGGTGATGACTGATGTTTTTATTGTATAAAGTAATTCAACTTTCTCATGGCTTTCACTTGAAAGCGCTGCAGCAGAAACTGGCATATTAATGACACAATACAGCCCAAATTCCTTGCTTTCACACAAATCTCCAGCACACACACGGATTTACAAATCTTCCCTTCATAACCTCTAACACTGACTGACATGTTTACGCCTCCGAGAGGTTTCAGCGCAGTTTTTCGCACCAGACTAATGTTTAATATCTGCAGGTATTTTCATATTCATGTCTCCAACGTGAAGTCATTATTTATAAGTTTACTTTGAATGTATCTTGAATTCTGTCCAGGATTCAAAACTAAAGGCTTTACTTTTTTTTGGTGTAACTTCTCTCGAGTAATGTCTAGCCGTGCAGAAACCTTTGTATATCTCTATGATATTTGCCCCCACCCAAAAATACAACCTTGTGCTCACAGCGTGGAAACATTTGGATTACAATTATTAACAGCATTTTCACAACAATGTCCTTGTTCCTTTATCTGTGACTATTTATTTGTTAGTCAACAGGGAAGCAGGAAAAAACACTGTCCATTGCTCTGAGTATTTAACTACAATAATTCTGAATATCTCAAAGCTTGAATAACCCAGAACTAACAGTAGATGATGCAAAAGGTTTTAAATTAGGATGAACCAACCCTTATTTGATTCCCAGCACTGAGCATCACTTTTAGATCTTTGCTATAAACCAGAGAAATGTGATTAACACTCACTTAAGCTGTATTCCAATGTAATTTTTGTATGTGTTTCTGTTTCACTATATCTTAATGGTTTTAATGTGTTGTTTTCATTCTTGTGAAGCACTTTAAAATGGTCTTGTGTTGAAATGTGCTATTCAAATAAACGTGCCTTCCCTATGTGTGCATAGAGAACCAAGCAGCAGGGGATATATCCTTGATATTAGCTGAGTTTGTTACCATTGGATATTGCTAAGCTAGGGAAGGTTTTTCTCCCCATTTCCAGTCTATAAACAAAGCTAACTGGCTGATAGTGGTATAAAAGCTGATAGCTAGACTAATGAGAATATTTACCAACATGTACAAATATTATTTTATTAATAAAGAAGAGACTGTAGAAGTCACCGCTTTACAATCCTTTCAACACGGCCACAGTCTCAAAAGGAAGCAGACCTGGACAAGAAACCGGCTTGCAATATGTAAAGAGTTGATATGGCAAAAGTACTGGAGGCCACCCTTTTGCATATTCAATTTGACTTACTATTCCCTAAAACATTTATTGAGTTGTTTATACCGTCAGAACAGTTTATAAAGGATTCCCCCACTCCACATGTAGCCAATTACTCCACAAACCGTTTGCATCCATTAACAATTACAAGCCCCCGCCTGCCTTCTGCTTCTCCCCGCTTCCATATTCTCCTTCCAAATGTACATCCACCCTCTGCTCCAAATTACCTCAGATACATTAAATCCATTCTGTTTCTACACCACCTTGAACTGAGATCGATGGCAGACTTCTTCCCGCTGCCCCAGATGTTGCACTAGCATTTATGCACTCCCACCATATGCTCTTGTCCCTCTTATTTCAGTCTAAACAGGCAGCTAACAGGTTACATATCAAGAAATACGGTGCCTAATTATAACAACTGCATTTATTTGCTGTTGCCCGTTGCTTTTGGAAAGTATCAACAGGAACAATAGGAGCCGACATGACTTTACAAACACGCTAATTATTTGATCTCACAAACAGGACCCTGCTAGTTTGGCCGACCTTGAGAGTAAACAACAAGCGTGTGTTTTGTGGCCTGCGTGGCGTGTGTGTGTGTGAGATGGGGGTGGGGATTGAGGAAAGGGGGTGTTGGCTCTGTAAACTATAATTACCCTCGCGCATGCAGACACACAGGTATTCCTGCCTCGCTAAGCAGCAGCGGAGGAACATAAGGAGGCAGCGAGCTCGGATAGAGACCAACAGACTGGCTTGTTGCTGCTGCGGCACAATAGGGTGTGAAAAGCAGCGTGCGAAGAAAGCAGGAGAGTGAGGGATGAAGGTTTTGTCCTACGTTTCCCCCTCCCACTCCCTGCCTCGCAGCCTTGACAGCTTCAGCTCATTGTATCTTCAATGCCCCGGCCTTTCAGGTAGATGTGCAGGAGCTGTATAGAAACCATGCCTCTCAGACTGTCCTTGAAAAACAAACTGCTGATATACATGACAGGTGCATCTGATTTATTCCTGCAGTTCAGTGTGGAGCCGTTGTTGTTGTTGTTATAGCATGCCGGCCATCTGCTATTGTCATCAAATGTCTTTTTTTTCTTGACCAACTGAGGCTTTAATAGCATACAATCGAGATTCTTCAGAGGGATATTGATTTGAAGGAGTCCTTACACCAACTGGAGATTGCATAGCTTTTTGAGTAAGAATAGAAAATACAGTGTAAATAAATAAATGCTTATAATTTCATCAGAAATTCATTTGAATATGTGGAAAACTAGGTGGAGCCTATCTCCAGAACTCAATTAAGAGATGATTTCACAATTGTAATAGCTACAAATATTCAAAAGGCTTGTTATGCTGCAGGTCAGTCAGACACATAGTTATTTTAATTTGCAGTTTCCTGGTCACCACATGAAGCTCTACATGTTTTCATCTAAGCCGGCCAAAAGAAAGTCATTACTAATGTTATTGCTAAAGAGGTGTTTATAGTTGACCTGAAAGGTTATAATGTAATATGCAAATTACATTTTAATATAAAATCGCATGTCAGTGTTTTGTTGGTTGGAGTTCTTCTTCCGAATATTTATCTTTTAATGGTCGAAATATTCGCCATTAATTATTGCAATGCTTTTTTTTCTTTAAAACTTATAAAAAAACCTGCTATAACATCTCAGTTCTCTTAAAAAGAGTCTAAACATTGACCCTAATCATTTGTTAAAGACACAGCAAATGTATATTCAACATGGTAATTAAGAACTTTGCAGAAAAGGGATGACGTTCAAGAAGTGACTTTTTGTTCAAATGTTCAAAATCCCACAAAAACTAGTTTTGTATTTTTTTTTTATAAATGAAAACACATGATCTTTTGAGTTCAAATGAATGACTAAAATGTGCCACCCCTCCTGTGGTCTGATTGGAATACATCTCTCCAGCATGAGCACTGTAGGACTGAGAGTCAGTTTGTGAGAATTTAGCAGGTTTAATAATTATTTCGAGCCTTCAGAATCTTTATAGAAAAACTTAAATTAGAAAAACAGCTCTTGAACTTTCACAGAGCATTCCCACAAATGAAAGACTGATCATATTATCTATTTTTGTACAGAAGATTAATGGACTTAAAAGAAAGAATCACGTGCATCTTGTTTTCCAAAACAAATACCCTTTACCCTCTGCAGTGTTTAGTGGATGAAAAATACGCTTTATGTAATCTTCCTGCAGCCTCACACGGTAACTATTAGCAGTGTTTGTAAAATACAATTCAAGTATAAAAGTGAGGATGAACCCAGCATAGAGGTGATTTTGTGATCACATTTGCTGAACAAAGTAGAACCCCAACATTTTTGCAATAATCATGCAAAAATGACCCATGATATTTAAGACATATAGGACTTGTAAATGTAAAGTTAAGTAAAGTGGCCCTGCGTGTTTTGTGAACACTTTCATTCTTACCTCCGTAATAACCGTAGGCCCCGGGTCCTAAGATGTCGGGATCCTCCAGCCTTCCTCCCAGGGGCCTCATCCTCCTCGGGCCCCTGAAGAAGGCGTGCCGCCGGGCCCCCAGAGCACTCAGCTGCTTCATTCGTCGCTCTTTGGACCTTCTGTTCTGAAACCAGACCTGCATCAAACCAGGAAGACAAGAAAAAGATGATCACCATGACACTGCTTTATCACTGTTAGCTTCTAATGTCTCATGCGAAGAGTACAAACCATTGTAAGATGTAAAATCTGATCCTGATAACTACAAGATTCAGTCTGTTGCATCATGCACAAACACAAAATACTAACAGAATTGAAAACAAATGTATATTAATCAGCTTCATTTAAATCCTGATCACTTTGGTTCATTTCACAGATCTGTTCAACTTCATGCTCACTGTTACAGAGTTTGTATGAAGCATCATTAAAATGCAGATTTGAATAGATTCAAGCCTTTGAAAGGGCTGGTATTTAAAAGCTAAATAGTCATTCTTTATGAAGAAATAAATGTGCATCTGTTTCATCATCCTCCCACTTCTCCGAAAGCTCTGTAAACATTTTGAAATGTATTTACAGTATTGTTTCGCGTTCTTTTAGGTTTAGATTCTCGGATCTTGGCATTCAAATGGCACAAACAAACTCCTCTAATGCTGTTAAAGTTCAACTAAACGTGTAAACCATTCAAATGCAGTTCCAGTTCACAGAAAATGTTAAAACCAACCAAAATATCAGATTTGCATAGTTTTATACCAGAATCTTTCGGTACCTGTAATTCACCCTTTTATATACATAATAGAAGTGTGACAATATTTCTCCAGAAAGCACAAAGTATCAAAGGAGAAAAGTCTCATAAAGATGTTCTGTTTAAAATGAAACGTGTTATCTATGATTGTATACAAATACACAATACAGAGGATTAGCAATTGTGCCCCAACACACAACCTAATGCAACTTAGCAACGTTCAAATAAACAGTTAAACCTTCAAATCAGAGCCTTTTCACCAACGTTAGATAAACTGTCTTTGAAGAGGAACAAAGGAGGATTTGACTACACACCATATGGAAGAGTGTCTGCATTATAAGCACATAACATATCTTGTTTCTCCTTTGCATCACTGCTGTATAATGATGTATGCTCACCCCAGCCAGGCTACACCAGAGGCAAAATCCCACTGTGCTAGAGATTAGCAACAACATACACACAAAAACACCTAAAACCACTTAGACGCTGTTCTATGTGCTCCGGCGGCAGAGGCGACACCTGCTTATTGAGAACAATCGTCTAACTGTAGGGTACATTTTTATGGAAATGCTCCCGCTCCCCTCGAGAGAGCGTTGCTTAGGGATTACATACACATGCTGGAGAAAGCAGCGTGGCTCACAGGGCTCCCCGTGTTGAAAGCAATGGTATTTAACACACAGTGAGCAAGGAGGAGGAGGAAGATGACGAAACACAGCCTCCATTTTGGCTCCAAGCAACACACAGGGGTGGGGATCACAGCGGAGGGACGACTGCCTGATTGATTGATTGATTGATTGATTTATTGACTGCTTGATTGAGCTCTGTTGATGCAGCTCTCACACACGCACACACAGCAGCCTGCAGTATATGATATAGAAGGGGCTCTGGAGAGGCCCTGGTCTGCTCTGATATGCAGTGGGAACAGGCTGCAAGTGAGTAAGAGCAGAGAGGTGGGAAAGGGGAGGGTGGTATGTAAATCTGTGAAATCAGCGATAATTACAGTGAGTGCACAAAAAGCCACATCACAGTTGGCAGGGATGGTGCTAATCATCCTGACACAGTCTGCAACTCAGACACTGTATGTGTGTTTCTGTGTGTTTCTGTGTATTTGTGTTTGAGGGTGAAAAAGGCAGACAGGGTCCAAAACAGTGTGTGTTTGTGTTTAACTGCAAATCATGTTTGGAGGTTCTCCTGCCTCTGGCAAAACACAAAACTAACCTTTTACTAATTTCATGGCTGTGCAACATGTTTGATTACTAAAAGAACCACTGTCTGCACAAAATAAATTACATTCTTCAAAAAAAAAAGAAGGTATTTATTATATCCATGTATCAGTAAATTGGATTTGTAGAACTTAATTTCAGGGCATAAATGAACGCCTGCAGGTGTACAGCGACGTGGAAATTAAACACAAATAGGAGTGGAATTTATAGGAATTAAAAAAAGTGGAATGAACAGAACATATTTTTTAAAGTAGTGGTTTAAATAAAATCATTAGTGGAATTATTCTAAAAGCAGAAAAACAAATTAAAAAATGTGAAATGTAGAATATTTTAGGGCTACTTTAAATGAAAAAAGACAGGGGAGATTACATTGTCATGTGGGGAAATAAAACTCATTTTAGGCCACACACTGCTTCCACTGATTGAGTTTTACTATAAGACTGTTGTTAAAATACAAATTATAATGCAAGATGACAAAGATTGTACTTGTCACGTGTTTAGGCAATTATCCCCATTTTAGAAATATTTGTATCATTATTATTTGAGATTACAATTCCATCAAAAATGGCTTTAGTAATAGAAAACGTGCACATATGGAATTCGTTGGGGATAATGTCAGATTGAATCTATATGCAGCTAATATAGCAAATTATGTTTGACATTTCTCTAACACATGATGAGACCTTCAATTAAAAACTCAGTTAATTCCAGCTAAATCAAAAAGCAATTTATAATCCGTAATTTGTCTCTAATTTGTCTTTGTCTCTGGTGACCCTCCCCTATTTCATTCACTTTTACCCACACGCTCACAGCTGATCCTACCTGGATGACGCGCATGTTTAGTCCTGTTTCCTGGGCCAGTTGTTCCCGGATGTGCCGGGTGGGTTTCGGCGTCGCGACAAACGCGGCCTTTAACGTTTCCAGCTGCTTGGCCTTGATGGTGGTCCGGGGCCCCCGCCTTTTGGTCCCCGAGTTCTGCTCCTCATTCTCAATATTGTTCGTTTCCTTATCAGAGGACGTGGAATTGTCCGTCTCTTTTATGTCGTCCTGTATTGGGTCCTGCAGATCCGGCGATAAACTCCTATCTGTACACGACGACACTGAGGGGCAAACAAACAAGAGGAAGGTCACGATCCGAAATGTCACGCAAGAGGAGGAAAGGGGGGGGGTTAATTAGGCTTGGAGATGCACAGCGGCAACACTAGAAAATATGCATTCAAAATATGTGTCATATTTCATTGAACACTGTCAGAAAAAAGGCACAAGGGTGAGATTTCCCTCCTACTTGATTGTGAATGTGCACTATCCTCTTTTTAATTCACCTTTTAGTTATATTACCTATGTTACATTTTTTTTCTATGTTATAGGCTATTCAACGTCTCTGTTATGCTCAATGTATGTCTTCTATTGGTATTATACATTTTCTGTGGCTGAGATGAGCGTTGGACTGCATTTCTGCTTAACACATTAAGCTTAATATTATATTATTATTATTATTATTACTTATTGAAGGTATTTGCAGATTTCATAAAATAGCTTGTTAAATATATCACTGAAAACTATTTCTGATTAAATACATACAGAAGGCTACATTGCACATGATTGAATATCACACACAAATACGTCTATGTACACATGTGGGCCGTTCAGGATAAGGGAGCGTCAGTCTGAATGCACAGGCGGGATGGGGATGAATAGACTGCGGGAAGAGGAGCTGGACACACTAACGTCATCCCCAGCGGATCCTGGTGTACAATAATAGAAAGCCATTGTCCTGCGGAAGGCAAATATTGAAACCAATCATCTGACAAGGTTGTTGTGAAATGCTCTCCACGGACAAAGCAAAGGTTCAACAAAAAACTGAATATGACGGGACGTTATAGGCTCCATCATATTTCCCTCCATTCAAAAGCCAATTATATTTATCAGATGTGGATTTATTTATTTGTCCAGAACAAGGCGATTTGAGATGGAAAAAGAGACGAACACACACTGATCACGGCTTATTATCGCGTTGATTACCTGAGTTCAAGTTGACTTCCTTAATGGCCCCGGAGCTGGCGTAATCTTCTTTGCACACAAACTTGTTTTCGTCTATCACGTAAAGCTCCTCTCCCGTGGACAGCTGCTTGTTACACACCATGCAGGTGAAGCAGTTCAGGTGGAACACTTTGTTGCGCGCTTTGCGGACCAGGTCGTTTGGAGAGATGCCCTGCAGACAGCCCGCGCATTTAGTGCCAAACCGCCTGCAAAAAACGAAAAAATAATGTCAAATATATGTTGTTTTTTTGTTATTAAATACAAAAGCGAGATTGCATCGAGTTAAGGCCCAAACAAAATTATGACAGAAGAAGCGCAAAAAGCCCTTGTTGGGGACAAGACATGATTTAAAAAATCAGCCTTGATTTTCTCCAAATAACCATATCAGCAATAATAAGAAGTGATAATTATATCATAATAGTTTGGTAGGAATAGTTCCAGCACTAACACTTACACAATCCAAAATATAATAATGCTAAAACTGTTTTTATTTCCAGCCAAATATTATACTAGCACATACCAGCACAGAGTAATAATAACAGAATGATAATAATTGCAATAATAATAATAATATATTTTAACACTAAAACAATGCTTAGACAATGCTTCTCATGATTCCAGTAAAAGTCCGTATAATAATACATTAGCAGTACTATTAAATATTTTTGTAAAGTATCCTATGTATTTAGTAATAAGTAAAAAAACATTCACAATAAACAAAAAAGCAGACGCATGTCACCTGTCTCTATCTTCTGGGAACATAGTAGCGACGGAGAAGCGTTCAAACGAAAGAAATCAAATAGGAAAAAAAAATCAGTCTTTGCCTTTTTTATATTGAGGATCGAGAGAAAACGCATGCTCATTATTTTTGATGGAGGTGCTCTGACAATAACCCCACGCAAAACGTATTAGTGACAATCAACACATTGTAGCCACGGATATATTATAGGATTAAGCAGAGTAGGAGCATTTTAGCGTGAAAATCTTCTCTTAATCCATATTCACCCGCTTAAATACCGAGTGGGAAGACTCATCAATTTGATACACAAATAACCCAAAAATAAATTCTGCAGCATACCCCCCCTGATTTGGAAGGACTGCTTTTGTATTTGCATAATGGAGGAAAGGGATGAAATAAATCACACCTGAGTATTATTAAGAGTTATTCAGTGAGTGTTTATCACCTGCATTAATGCTTTTACTAATATGAAGAGTTTAAAGGCAGATGTTGGCTCTCTTTGGGACTGTTATACCTGGATTTTCAGCCGGCCTGTCGGGGGGTGCTTAAGCCTCAGGGTGAAAGCAAGCACTCCTTTTGTGAAGCATTGTTTTAACACTAATGTAGGCTTGTCTCTCCATTTGCAATGGTATCGCTCCACTGTCCCCTCTTTCACATGCATGGCCAAGCCTCCCCCAGCGAAAGGGCACAACTCTACTTACACAACAAATGGACATATTAGGGTGATTACTGTTTCGCCTGGCTAATGGCTGGCCATTTAAATCCACCGCTTGATGGGACCTGCGCTAATATGATGGCCAAGGCCGTGCGAGGCCAATAACAGCCCTTCCGGACAAAGGCTAATGTCTTACATGTCATTAGATAATTTGGGCGAAAATAACTGACACATACAAATGAAAATGATGCTAAGAGAGTGCGACCGGACAAACAAGGGCTTCACTTATCACTCAATTACCTGAGACACTTTTTAGGAATTGTGAAACGGTTAATAGCCTAATGGGTGTTTGGGAAAAAGTGTTGTCTGGATCTGGAAAATAGATAAAAACGCAGAATACGTGGATGCAGAATGAAATTAAATGTTAGTTGTTTTGTTGTAGAGGCCCCATTTTAAAAGGCCAAAAATACACGACTGATCATTTATTTTAAAAGCCTGCAAATTAAATAAATAATGTACACTTCTACATTGGTTTTTGGGCAGCTCTCTTCTGCTGGTAATATATTACACTTGCCTTGATATGTTGGCCTGCCTTTACATATAAATTATTTGCAGGCTTGACTTTGTGGGCCACATTAATATTGCTGGTTTGTTTTTGTATTCCTCTTATCTTTTAATTGTTTGTACCCCTGGAAACATTGACCCTAAATCAAAGTATTGTGCGTATTTTTTTGTAAAGACGGGAGTCAGAGCCCATATTAAATAACTTTGAATCCAGACTCGATACCTGAAAAAGTCAGTTTTGCAATAGAGCTTCCCGTCCCTGGAGAAGCACTTCTCGGAGAGGGCGCAGCTGCACTCGCAGCACTGGACGCACTTGGAGTGCCAGGCTCGGTCCAGCACGTTGAGGAGGAACCGGTCCAGGATGGGCCGTTCACAGCCGGCACAGTGTGCCATCATGTCTCCGGCCTGCAGGACGCCGAGTGCCGACCTGCCCACACGGACTGCACTGCTCGGACTGGGGCAACCCGGGTCTACGGGGAACAACGTCTTGGCTCCGGGTGGTGGGCTGTCAGGCGAAAAGTGGAGGAACCTCCCGTTGAAAGGCAGCAGAGGGACAATCCCCGAGAAGGGTAGTATTAGTCCTGGTCCTGTTCTGCTGCTGTCCTGGCACTTGTCACAATCCACAATCCAAAAGAGAGGACGAGAGGCTTCAGCCGCGCCAGCTGATAGACTGCGTAATGGACAAACCGGACATGTTTTCTCACGCCAACTCAGTTAAAAAATCATTATTCAAACGCGTTTATTTCTAATAATTTATCCCTTCGCTCATGCTTTGTTTTGGTTCCAGTCATTTCCTTACGGGCTCACCTCACGCCGCCACTTTCTCATCACTGTGGCTGTGGTTATCACGAGGATTTGCCAGCGCTCACATTGGATAACGCCCTCGTTAATTCCCGTGGCAGGAGAGCCAATCAGAACACAGTTGTTATGGTTACACGTTCATAGCTGAAGCCTCGGAGCGAACCTGCATCACACACAGGAACACAGGGCCAGGCATGCATGTGGAAGGTTCCATGGTGGGGCACAGAGACACCACTGACTTTATAAGGAAAAACGCATCAGTTAGTGCCACTGAGATCCCCCCTGTAAGATCTTTGATCGGACTTTCAACTCGAAAGTCCACAAAACACGAGGAAGGTTAGGAAATACCTTTACGATAGGCGTTTAAATGGCACGTTGCTGCCACAGAGATGAATGTGAATAGATGCAATGGGAATGGGAGTAGCCGAACAAGGGCTAATGCTACACAACCTCATAATGGCCTTGTGTCAAAACGCTCCTGCATCACATTGAGGCTGTGCAGGCTGCAGAGGAGGGGCCGCGGGCCTTTTCTCATGCAGAAAGCTATTTACAGGGAAATGCGATGGATTAGCTGGAGCTCATCAATAGGGAGAGCCTGGTCACCCGGTGCTTTAACAGAGTGGCCACCAATCGAAGGGAATTTCAATATTTACCAACAGGCTCGTTTTGTTAGTTCGCAGTTAAGCAAACATGCAATACGCTAATTCATGTTAGTGGATGCGGCCGAGAAGCATTTTTTTCTTTCCATGGTAATGATGATTCATTTCAATAACATTAGGTGTGAATTTTGACTCATTTTAAACGATTATAGGTCATCCAAGACAACATTTAGAGAGGAACAGATAAACAACAGCTGGTAGTTATAAGAGATGAAAGAAATGCAATAAAAAGGGTAAATAGACAAATTGTAATGAGTCAATATTATATATTTTCAGTCCTTTATACCTATTTAATTTATTATTAATTATAGTTATGCCAGATAAAAGGACTTATAAATGCATTATAGATCCATTATATTATTTGGCGAAACTTCTTTTTTTCTGACTTTTTTTGCCATTTACATACATACTCAAATCACCTAAGTCAACATGTCCTTGTGTTGCCGAAGGGCACATTGACATCTGAAAGGAGAAGCCAGGTAATGGCTATCAACTGTTCTAGCATCTTTTCTTTTTATTCATAATTTTCCAAATTAATTGGCTGTTTTTGCCCCTTTTTGTGCATTCCAAAATTGTTTCGGTTGCAGACCAATTCAAATAAGTCTCAATTTCTCAGCTGTGGTACGTAATTACTGTTTTTCTATATCAAAATTGCACCCAGGACACCAAGTGTGGATGTATGCTGCAGGTAGTAGTGGTTTAACCTGTGTATTCCAGGCCTTTGTAGAGACAAGCCTGAATGAGTTTCCTCAATTATCCGAGCTCCTAACACAGCGCCCTTTAGCCTGTACAACACGGGTGAGACAAAAAAAAGGAGGGGGGTGGTATTCAGGAGAAAACGGTGGGAAAACGAGCATGTGAGGCAAATGTGTCCAATCATCTCTTGTTTGAATGAATGTAGCCCTTTTGCATTGTGCATAGAAGAAGAAAAAAACCTGTTTGCTTTTGCTTTGCTCTGCTGTGTACACGACCCTAACGGAGAGACCCTCACCTGTGAAAAAAAGGGAGCTGTCCCTGGTACCAAAAGCACGAAGCACCAAGGACAGCAACAGGCTTTTCTCTTTTCAATGGGGACATCATACATTATGCCTATGTGATCACACATAGCTTATACTTTCTTCTATTTACACCCTGTTTACTGTATGTTCAATGCATTCTGACATGTTGACTGCAAGCTCTTATCTTGACCCTGGCATGGCATTTCATCCTGCTATAGGGACAAAATCAATGTTGGAAAACAATTGGAGAGCCTTTTCCTTCAAGGACTGTCATGTATTTCCCTTTGATACTCATTACTATAGAGTTCTGCTGACTTAAAGGCATCTGCAGAAGTTTGTAAAGCACCCTATCCCTTAAAAAATAGTTATTTTGGTGGAGCAAAACATACCACATCATGGTTTATGCATTGCATTATCATAATATATGAGCACACTGATAAGACAATTCCATAGCATTAAAGAAACCTGATAAAAACGGTATTTTGCTTATTAGGATATATTCCCCGCAGGTCACATGACTAATAGAAACAGGCCTATGACTCACATTGTTTGTAAGCAACCTACTGTATGAGTAATTTCATTTAAATAACAAACATTTTCCAAATAAAAATTGTTATTACATTTGAAAATAAAGCTTAAACATCAATACCCTGGATAACATTTTAGGATTCAACACATTCATGCGAAAGCCTTCTAGCCGAAATTATAGGATTCATTAAGCAATGAAAATATACAATAATATTTTATATGACTATTTTATAAATTGCAGAAAACTCTTCATATTTATTGATCTATTCTAGGGGAAAGAGGCTTTGTTAGTTTACCCCTGCAACGGTTTACTGAGAGCATGCAGAGCATCACAACACGTATTTTTCAAGGTACAACATCTGAGCATCTCTGCCTTTTCTTTGCTAAGAGGCCTTCATTAAATACCTCTGCAGCTGCACTGCTCTGTATTCCTCAATGATGTTTTATTTAGTAATGCAAAGAGAGTAAAAATACCGTGATACACACAAACCCTGAACCCTCGGTGTCCCTTCAGTATGTGCTCCGACAGAATCTGCACACGAAGGATGACAGAAATAAAGGTTAATGTTTGTAGTAATTGGATTTGAGGAAATATTTTAAAACACAGAAAGAAACAACCTTCTTTTTAGAGAAGTAGCTTGTTATTTGTAGTAGCTGCTGTGCACTGGGAGTTGAAATGAAGCTATAAAGGGAAAATGAGAAGATATAAATATATATCTAAAAAAAAAGGTGTATATAGATAAATGTGAGACACGGAGAAAAGAAATCTACCTCCACCTCCCCTCCACTGTGCACCTTGACAGCCTGGACACCTGAGCAGACCGCCTCCCCCGCCTCCTCCTCCTCCCCCTCCTCCTCTATTCCTGCAGAAGCCATTCAATGCATGCGGTGTCACCCCAACCCCAAAGACGTGCACGCTCCCACACATGTACGCTCAAGACCACCTCCAGGGCCCCCTCTTTGGCAGGGCCAGTCCCAAGGGAGAGGTTAGTATGATGGATGTCTGACTGGTAGCCCTCCCTTCGGGCCTCCCTCTCCGTCACCTCTCTGCGCTCTGAATTAAAAGGCCGTTTGTCTCCTCCGAGTCCTCAGCTGTAGAGCGCCGGCCTGCAATTTCACAGCACTCAGAGAGAGAGGGAGACCATTACAGAGGAGGTTGTCAGGGGAGCCATCAGAGCCCGGACACGCCTGAGGGACTCTCTCTTTCCCCTCCATCTTTCTCTGCTGCCGTCTCCTTCTGCTCACCCACTAACACCTCTGTCCCACTGCAGGCAGCCAACCCTGCACCCACGCAAACATAGAAATATTCAAGGCCTCTGTTACATTCGAGCATGCATACTCCTTACTTTGTATTAGTTTTATTTAAATGTCCTATTATAATCGGAGGTGGGAGAAGTACTCAGACCTTGTATACTTAAGTAAAAGTACCAGAGTGTAGGAATGCTCTGTTACAAGTAAAAGTCCTGCATTCAAAATGTTACCCAAGTAAAAGTATGTATGTATTAGAAACCAAATATACTACCAAAAGCAAAAGTACTCTTTATGCGCATGGCCCGTTTCGGAATAGTATATATTATAAGTTTAGATTACCATTATTGATGCAATAAAGGGTTATCAAAGCTGGTAAAGGTGCAGGGTAGATCGTAAATATTACTCCAGGTGTCAGGTTAAGTATTTTTTAAGTGTTGATTATATTTCACACCATTCATTTAAATCAGCAGGTATTATATAAATGTAGTGGAGTAGTAGAACAATTGAAACACTCAAGTAAAGTACAACTCCCTCAAAATTGTACTTAAGTACCTGAGTAAATGTACTTAGTAACTTTACACCACTGCTTATAATGCGTTTATTTTTGCACTTTGTGTCTATGCTTTTGATGTTTTATGTAAAGTTATTTCAGTTAACTCATTGCCTACTGTGCTGCTGTATATAAATAAACTTTCCCTGCCTGCACGCATCTCACACACGTCATTTTGATTTTGAAACATTCTCTCTGTGTTGGTGCTTGTATAAATTATCACATCTAATAATACAAAAAGGTAAAGCAAGACCACAGAGATTTTCAAAGACGAAATAACACGTGCTTACTGGAAATGGAAAACTTGAACTCATAAGCAATGAAACATACTTTTAAATTATTCAATACACTCAGAGGACCTTCTGCAACAGCCTTACTTTGTATGAACAGTTGCTAATGTTAGCAAACTTGAGGTATTGCTGTATATCTATTATTGCTGTGCCCTAATGTTACAACTGCGCTCTAACATGAATTGTTGCCACAGTGGCCGCTGTTCAGCAATAGTCCAGCTTTAAAAAGGATAACAGCGGCCGTATTCATACATCATTTTTAACCACGGAAAGACCAAAACAAACAATGTGTTTGAGGTTGAGTATGCTTGAAATAATCAGTTCATACAACCTGTTGTCCAAGTATGTTTAAGTGTTTACATTTCATCTGATTGGCCGCAATTGAAGGTTGGGCGAAAGTCCTGCCGTCATAACCTCCTTCACTATGACTCTGTAGAGAAAGGTCTCAGTGCCTCTAAGGGCCTTTGTCGCCAATGAATCATATAAATTGGGATGATTGCAAATAGTTTGGGACTTTTCTGGACGCGTAGCAGTTGGTAGTGGACTTGAGGTAGTTGTGTGAATGATCAGAAGATAAAATCAGACTTTCCCTTTTGAAAACTAATGGAGGCTCATCAACAATGGAGATCTATGGCACAGAAAAAAAAAGATGTCAGGGTTTGATGGACACACAATTCTTAATTCATAGTAAACATTTATGCTGAGGTATTTGTTCTGT